CACTCTTTCACCAATGACTTACCTCGGTGAATGCAAAGATTCGCTTCCCACAGGGCACAACCTTATACCATTTGTCATGCAGCATGTCCATGAAGCCGTCAGACTTGTAGTGACTTATGAACTCTGACACATTACGAGTTAGAGGAGAGCCCTGGGGCAGGCCGATGCCGTAGCCTGAGAAGGAGACAAATACAGATATAAATACATCTTGTAAAGGTAACACAAAGCTGAGAGCAACACCATGTCTGAGTCTAAGTTTGTCTTTTTTGTGCAGAAACCACAGTCAGGCAGCTACAGTTAGCCAAAGGGCAGATGCCCTCTGGAAAAGGAGATTTGTGTGTTTACAGGCTTCAGCTGGAATCAGAATCAACCATGTTTTCTGCCAAGTACAGTTCAAATACACTGTCTTGGGATTTTTCTGGTACAGTATTTGTGTAGGGAGTCAAAGCACTAAACTACTAATGCTGGTGGTGGCAGTGAATACTGTGATACAAAACAACTGTGGCAGATCAGATTCTGGTATTGAGGAGTCTGTTCCTCCCTCCATCACATTCCATACTTACAGCCAGTGTTTGAGAAGCTGCCCACCACAAACGTGATGGCAGGATCAGACTAAACGGCATTTGTCAATGATCGTCACTATACAAGATTAAGTGATCTCCACTGTGACATGGCAGAGCGAAATATTAGACGAGACACTGAACTCGTGACCTGCATGCAAAACCGCAGGGGGAGCCAGAGACAAACCGGCACAGAGTCGAATGTAGATAAACTTGTGAGAGAAGGCAAAAAAAAAAAAATTCCAACATGCTGGCCTTTGTGTCAGGGCCTTGAGAGGCATCCTAGACTCGTCTTCCACTGTGAAACATCACATGTGAAAGTGAACCGTGGTGCCTGATACTCGTTTCCATTCCTCCTGCCCCCCCATCTGCCAGGTCAGGTCCTTTCTCAGCTAATATCAAGAAGCCAGAATGCACCTTAAAGGCTGGAATGGGATCAATTCTGACTCCACTCGCCAGACTCCCTTCAGCAGATGGGGTGCAAATGTCAAAGTCCTAGTTACTTATTTATTTATTTGTGATGCAGCCTTCACCAAAGCCTGCACACAATGCTCCCATCTCTTGTGTCCCTCAATTAATGTTAATGCTGTACTTTAGTATTTTAAGTTTGTTAGACTTCAGCTCAGTGTTTTCAGACAGGTCTCCATGAAGCTGGCCTGAAGAATATTAAGTGGTACATGTTCAGCAATCAACCTCTCACATACAGGGGGCAGATCTTGAAAATTTGGACAGGGTGGCCAGGCTGGGGCACTGACTCAGGTGGGGGCAGGCACAGTGAGCTGGCTCAGTTTAGAGTGGAGGATGTCTGGGATGATGGTGTTGAGCGCTGAGCTGAAGTCCACAAAGAGGACCCGTGCACAGGTCCCTGGGGAGTCGAGGTGTTACAGGATGTAATGCAGGATGTAATGCAGTGCCATGGTGACTGTATCATCCACTGACCTGTTTGCCCTGTTTGCAAACTGCAGAGAGGTCCAGCATGGGGTCTACTGGTAATTTTATGGTTTACTTGCAATTTTATGATACATACTTTGAAAACCAAAACAAAGAGAAAATACCATTCTTTGCAGCTATAAAATCTGTTTAGTCCCCACACTCCGAGAGTCGATAAAAATTAACCATACGGCATAAAAAGTAGCTCAAGCTGCTACCTCTTACCTATCCTGACCTTATCACCAAAGCAGTCAGTTGCAAAGCACTTATCAGAGTCTATGAGGCAGACCATCCACTCCATGCTCTCTTCACACTCATCCCCTCTGGTTACAGATAAAAGACCCAGTTTTGCAGAAAGGCCAAACAAAGGTCAGTTACATCCCATCTGCACAGGAACTTGCCAACATGCTGGCATTATAGCTTTTTTTGTGACTGGTTCTCCTGTTGATGTTCCTTTGTATTTACCACTGGAGTCTAGTGTTTTATCGCAGGTGGCTTTTGTAGCCATTTCCTGACTGCATTTGTAGCTGCACTTCATTTTCACAACTTTGACTGAAGAAGAAAATCACCATGCAATAAATACGCAGTTAATAATAAATACATTTGTACTGGCTTTACAGTAGAGTGGTTTCAATCCATGCAAATAACCACCATGAATTTAAGGTATTGTTTAGTGCCATATTTAAGTACATTGGCTGAGTATGAATTATTTTTCAGACAGCTTCTGCCACTGAATTTTAGAGTTACACTTCTTGCTCTACTATGTGCAAATAACTGGTGCAGTTATTGGTAACTTTGTAGACTGATGGCTTAGATGCAACATGTACACTGTGCTGATAAAATATTATTGGTATACAGCTAAAGTTAAAATATATGATATCATATTTTAGAATTTTGCAGGAAGTAATGAAAATCATTAGTATAGTGCATTAAATATTCATCTGTTACTTGTGTGTTTCATCATCCCTTGACTGGTATTGCCTTGGTCATCTCTATTTCCTTCTAGCTAAGGGTAAAACATCAGCAGTATGTGGAGTAATTACAGCAATAAAACATACTCTATTTACAGCTATAAAATTATATAACTATAATAATTTTAATTGAGTAAAGAGCGATGCAAGTTATTTTTCAACGGCACATTCATGCATCGTTACACAAGCTGAAAGCTGCAAAACATTGTTGCTCTGCCCTACCCAGACTTTGAAATTGCATCTGTTTTGCATTACACCCTGTAGTTCTGCAGGTACAAAACAAATCGGTCCCACAGCTTAAAATCAAAAGACCCTCTTGGAGATATATTGCTATACAAGACTGCCTGGGGATTTGCTTCATTTCATCTGTTCTGCAGTCTAAGACAGTCATGCCAACAGTGTTTGTGTGATTCTATCAGGCCTAGCAACTGCTTGTTTGTGTGTATGTGTGCTGGTTATCTAGGTGTGTGAGCACAGATACAGGATAGTGAAAATTCACATAACTGCTTCCTATATGGCAGAGACGGTCTAAACTTCCTTAACTCCTGTGACTCTTGCATTTCCGTGCTGTGTTCCTTGGCCTCAGTCGTCCCTTTCACCCTTGCTCTTCTCTGGTCGAGGTCATCTCTCTACCACCGCTGCTGCTAGTCTCTCCCTCACTTAGTCTGCTCCTTATCTCTGTCATCTCTTCACTTTTATTCAGACTCTGCTTCACTCCATGCTTCTCTTTATCCCTCAGCTCCTCTCCAAATTCCATTGCTTTGTCTCTGTCTCCGTTCGCTTTCATTTTTCCAGCAGACAGGCGGCACTTTTCTGTCATCGGCCTATCTCCATCCACATTTCTTCAGAGCACTCAAATTGTGGAATACAAGTGGGCAGCCACTTGTCATTTGTTTTGATTCTCTCCCTGAGACATAGGCATATTCCATCACAAGACTCAAGTCCCAAAGCTGTCACTCAAATTCCCCACACAGCCGCTCACTCACATACACACTCGTGCACGTCAGGTTTGCTCCAAAATACTTTATTTAGGTTTGTAAAAGTTTTTTTACTTTCTTATTCTGAAACAAATCCTGATTAAAACTGTTTTGAAAGCGGGGAGGTTATGATCTTTCATAAGGTTAAAATTACAGTTTTTGTTCTGTAATATTTCTTTGTTACGATGTCTTTGCTGCCAGGCTCTGCTTGATATTGTGTCTTTTCATTGTGGTTCTGAGAGATTATCACCTAATCAAACAATGTGGTCAGTGCTATTAAGTTTTGTTATTGAAGTTTGACTTTCTATACACAAAGTTTAAACTTGGATGTGAAGTTCAAATGAAGCAAATGATGAAGCTTCCATGAACTCAGTATCGAATGCAGTGATAGACCATGATTTATGGTGTGTATTAGGGCTGGAAGAGATCAGCTAAAATCTGCCAAAACGAATTAACTAATTTACTTCAGACTGCAAATGTAACTTTATTACATTGGTTTTATAGATTTTTCTCCTGATGTTTGTCCTGTTTAATTTTGGTATAACCAGCAAAATGTACAGTCTGACTCTGCTGGCTGATCTGATTAGCCTCTGCTAGTTTTTGTAGCTATCGTCTGTTTCCACAGTCACATTTATTGGAAATGGAAATACGAGTACATTTTTTGCTACACTTACTGTATACAAGATGAACATTTTATGGCTGCAACTAAAAACTAGTTTCGGACTGCTGTTTCCTGCGGTAAACCGTACTCATTTCCTGTTTTCTGTATTTGTGCAGCTCTTTTATCTAGAAATCTGGACGAGTTTGTTTTACAACCTAAATTATGACAACCCAGAGTTGAGTCCAGGATGCAGGGTCGCAGTCTTACACGCCTCTCTGCTGTCTCCTTGCAGCTGCTACCCACCCAACACTCCCAGTACCCCATGGAGACTGTCTGTCCCCCGCCTACCTAAATTATATAAATCAAGAATCAACTCCAGAGGAGTTATTCATAAGAACCAAATTAAAATTAAGATGACTCTTCTTATAGTAGAAAGTAATAGGACAATCAAATGTGGACTATTAAATATCAGATCTCTGTCATCTAAATCTCTGTTAGTGAATGATTTGATAAGTGA